TTTTTTTTTTTGTGCGAGGCTTTACCAGAAACGTAGAAAAACGACAAAAAAGACGAGTTTTGCGAAACATGAGCCCGTACAGCAGATGCTTAATTGCATCCAAAGCCATGTCAACCAAGCCATGAATCGAACCAGTTTTATGTCCAGGTTCGTGGAACCGGAAAATGACAAATGAATATGAGAATCAAAGAGAATGAACTGGAACGCAAAGAATAACACGCTTAAACCACCAATACTTCCGGGAGTCGCGGCCGGAAAAAAAAGGCCGCGAGGTGATGGGATGAATGGGGCTGGGGTGCTAGTATAAATTCATTCAAGTGGAAACGCTGCGGCTTTTTTTTTTTGGGCTGGCCGTTAACGAGCTGCGACTTCCCGGAAGTACTAACAGAAGAACAAGAGGCTGAGTGTCCTCCAGTTGATCGCCAACCTCTTCTTCGCAGTCGTCTCCCTCTTTTCCTCCTTCTCATCGACCCTGGCTCCTCATCAACAAGGAGTTGGCTATGGTGGACTCTCTCCTCTTCAACAAGGAATCGTCTTTCCAGCCTCTCCAAACCTAAATCAGTCTACCTTCTTCCCCCGAACACAACGTATGGTCATTATAGCTGTATTGGGGGCATCTTTCTGTCTAAATACATGAATTTTTACGAGACAAATTCATTGCTGATGTAGCTATAGTGACCGTACATCGTATTTGGGGGAAGAAGGTAGTCTCTCTCCTTGCCAGACTTCCCAGAGGGCCAGCAGCATCATAAGAACGAAGCCCTGACTGAAGCATGGTGGTGGGTCCCTTTTCTAGCCTTGAGGCTTAAATCTTTTCTTCCGCAATACGGCTATGGCCGCCGGTCCCCTGTACCGATATTCTCTGTCCTGATGGCCAGGCCCTGCAATGACTTTGGCGGCGGATTACCAAACCAAAACCCAATCTAGCCATGTTTTCTATCTTGGAGACAGCACATGGCCTCCAGGACGGGTTCCGGTCCACTGCTCGAGTGGTCGCTGACGAATCTTTGGCACATAGTGAGGGTCCTTGTAACACCAAACCACTTCCTCGCAACATTTCACATAACTGATCGCCTTTCTCAACAATATTTTACTGTGCCTCTGTTATGACATGCAGTTAGGGTCACTCCGTTGTTTAAATGGTGGTGGGATTTTTTTTATTTTTTATTTTTAACAAAACAAAAAAAAAACAATGTTACAGCAAACCGAGCACTAAGTTGGCGAAATCAAAGGCGTATTGTCAGATCTACCCGTTGTAGTAAATCATCAACTACCGTCTGATGTGTCCCAACCATCGTAAAAGCTGATGCTGATGCTAGACTTTCCACTCTCCTCCCCTTCTTCCCCCCTCACACACCCTGCGTCCACCCTCCTCGTTTTGTTTGAAGGGGTAACTGTTAGCCCTTATAACCTTATTGTGTCCAAATCTAGGATACCAACCGGGCCGCCCGGGTCCCGGGTGGCCAGCCCGTGCAAGGACCAGGGAAGGTCCCAGCCCAAAAAAAAAAAAAAAAAAAAAAAAAAAAAAAAAAAAAAAAAAAATTTTTTTTTAAAAAAAAAAAAAAAAAAAAAAAAAAAAAAAAAAAGAAGAAAGAAAGAAAGAAGAAGAAGCTATCTGCGGCTGTGCTGCCGCGCTGGGATAGCCTGTGCGCCGCCTAGCCGTTGTCACTGCGCCCCCACACGTGTGCACCCTTGGCCTTTGGACCAACATGCCTCTTGAGCGGACATCCCAAAACTGAGCACGGACAATGACATACCTCCCGCGGCCGCGTATATTCGTATTAAACGGGCCGCGGAAAAGCCCCGAGGATTCGTCCTTGGAACCATTCCCCAAGGACAGGTCGAACGACGCCTCCAATAAACCAGAATTTCCCCGAGGAATCGTCTTCGGGGCCCGAGGACGCCCTGAGGAGTGTCTAACGATGCCCCATCCCTCACTGGGGGTTAGGAGCCTAGGTACGACCCCATGCATAGAGTAGAGTAGGTAGATATAGCCTGCCTTCTTTCGGTGCTTAGACATGGAGATTTGAAACCTGTTGGGCCTGTTCTATGTGGGTAGGTAGCGTGAGGTATGTACTAGGTAGCTAGTGTGACGTCAAAAAAAAATTGAGAGAAGAAGATAGCTTTGTTAATACAAAAAAAAAAAGAAGACTGAAACTCAGGTCTGTTTATGATCCGTCATATGGGTGTGCCATTCAGTCACATGATGGGCTGGGTTGTTGCACCCTTTTTTGGTTGTGTTCGCTGTTCTTATATCCGTTTTCTTTTTTTTGGTATATTCTTTTTGGGCTGTGTTCTTTCTGTATGCCTGTTGTAAGTTCAACCTTGGATTCCCAAAAAAAAAAAAAAAAAAAAAAAAAAAATGTTCANATGTTATGCAGAAAAATAAACTGAACAACTTTTGCCTCAGGGTCACATCGAAATTTTGCACCAAATTTAGAATAAAAAATAATTTTTTTATTTTTTTATTTTTATTTTTTTGGCCCGGCCGGGCAAGTGACCCCGGGCCACTCTGGTAGCCTAGGTCCAAATGGTTTTGAACATTGGATCTGTTTATCTGACTTTATCAACAATTTTATGTGTTTAGTACTGTGTACCATTCAGCCGCCAGCCCCCCTGATTGCCCCCACCCTCCAGCTCCGCCCCCCCTTTCTTCGTAAAGGGGCTATATCCCATAACCTTATTGTGTTCAACCGAGTTCAAACAGCGGATCTGTTTCTCAACAAGTCTGCGTGTGTGCTGCTGTGTACCTTTCCGGCACCAGTACCAGTCAGCTCCCCCACAGCCTGTCATTTTTTTGTATGCATCTTGCAGTGCTATATGGACTATGTACGTGACGCTGGTTTATTTTTGTTGCCGATGCGCATTTCTGTAGGATCACAGCTGCCTCTCGCAATGGCCAGGTCAGATGCAAGGCAGAACCTTGTTGACAGTCTGACATGCGCGACTGCAGGACCGGCCATTGGGTTTCAGGTAAGAGGTTCAGAGTCACACCCACTCTTCATGTTCTGTGTACAGCATGACACTCCCTCGCTCGGACCTGTTATTGGCATCTAAAAATTCTAAGCCTAAACGGAACCTTAACGGAACTAAACGGAACTTAAACTTCTTAATGGAACCTAAACGGGACAGAACGGAACTAAAAAGAACCTAAACGGAACCTAAACGGAATCTAAACGGAACTAAACGGAACCTAAACGGAACTAAACGGACCTAAACGGACCTAAACGGAACCTAAACGGAACATAAACGGAAGTAGTTTGGGTTAAATTCAATGTACACAAGAAAGAATGAAGATCCCACCACATGTGCGTGGTGGCCGACCTTCTCCCCTTTGTTCCAGCTCGCAGAGACTGAGTGGATAATAGGAAAAGGAGGAAATCAGTTTGGGCCCACTGTACACCCGGTGTACAGTCCCAGGCGAATTTCAAGTACCAAATGGAGCACAGCTTTGGTCTGTCCTGATCACTTTTGGTCAGCCTTTGGTCCACCTTTGGTCCTACTTCTGGTCCACCTTTGGTCCTGCTGTTCCGCCTTTGGTCCTACTTCTGGTCCACCTTTGGTCCACCTTTGGTCCTACTTCTGGTCCACCTTTGGTCCACCTTTGGTCCACCTTTGGTACTACTTCTGCTCCACCTTTGGTCCAACTTCTGGTCCATCTTTGGTTCACCTTTGCTCCACCTTTGCTCCTACTTCTGGTCCACTTTTGGTTCACCTTTGGTCCACCTTTGGTCCACATTTGGTCCTACTTCTGGTCCACCTCTGGTCCTACTTCTGGTCCACGTTTGGTCCAACTTCTGGTCCACCTTTGGCCCACCTTTGGTCCTACTTCTGGTCCTACTTCTGGTCCACCTTTGGTTCACCTTTGGTCCACCTTTGGTCCACCTTTGGTCCACCTTTGGTCCAACTTCTGGTCCACCTTTGGTCCAACTTCTGGTCCACATTTGGTCCTCCTTCTGGTCCTACTTCTGGTCCACGTTTGGTTCACCTTTGGTCCTACTTCTGGTCCACCTTTGCTCTACTTCTGCTCCACCTTTGAAGGAAGGCTTCATTGACATTCGGACTTGTCTCAGAGGAGCACATGGCCATTAGCCACATTTATGCTTCTTGCTGGGTTATATGGGACCATATAAGGAGAACAAGAAGTCGACTTGAAGAAACAGTGAATGGAAAGGCAAAGTGCACCACTGCTCCACTGGTCATTGTTTTTCAGATAAGAAGGTCTAGGAGTTAGGACTGGGAGTTAGGTCTTCAGTTTCTTTTTGAAGTGTGTTTATTTTCTTTGTCCTTTTCTTTGGTGTGCACAGGAAGTGGGTATGCAAAAAGGATCCCGTGCTGAGACGGCATCACCGATTGTTAAAAAAAAAAAAAAAAAAAACACTTCTCTAATAGTTCCTATAGGGGAGTTCAGTTTCTTTGAATTCTCTTCTCTAAGTGTTTTTTTTTTTTTTTGTCCTTTTCTTTGCTGTGCACAGGAAGTGGCATTGTGTTTCGGCGGCTTGCTTCTGCGAGGAAATCGTGCGAGGAAGACCAATTCGTCATCATACCGTGCTTTTTCATCTCCAACGTACCCTCCCCTCGCAACCCTGGGAGTCGAGGTAAAAGCCCCCCCTGGAAAATGCATGCTGCCCCCCCCCCCCCCCCCCCCCCCCCCGAACAAATTCCATCCTCTCCCTTCTTGGCCTTCCGAAACCATGTGCCGCATCTCAAACCATTCATACAAAACCCTAAACCCTAAACGTGATGACACGCTACCGTCTTCCCCCGAGTAGAATGCATGGTCATGATTGCTGTATCTAGACTGGAAGGTGTCCCGAATACAGATATAATGACCGCACGTTCCATTCTGGCGAAGTCGGTTATGGCTCTTGTGGGCTCCACTGCCGTTTGCTGTGAGCTGGCGAGTGTTCCACGGTCCAAAGATGATCGCTGTATCTGGACTGGCAGTTGTCCCAAATACGCAGACGTCCATTAGGTGCAGGATGGCACAGTTACTCTAAAAGCAGATCTCGTAAACGCCATCCAGAGTCTGGACTTGAAACCGCGCCGTGGCCATGCCCCGCCTGCGGATTCGGCCCGTCCCCCACCGCTCTCCCTCCTTTTTCACCTCCTCTGACGCGCGGCTCTCACCATCCCCCTTCCCCCGCGGCTTATTCAGGTAAGCCTCGGTGAACCTTCATTGCAATCAGTGCAAAATTCAAATTACTTTCTTTTTTTTTTTTTTTGTGTGTGTGTGAAGTGGGTAGCCCCTTACTTCATTGTCTTCAACAGGAGGGAGATCCCACTAGCCATGTATGTGGATTAGTGTGACGGGTGTGGGACGGGTGGGGGACAGGTGGGTGGCAGCGTGAAATAGGGAAAATAAACGCAAAAAAACATTTCATGACCAAACAAATGAAGAAAAAACTGCAAAAAAGGAAAAGAAAGTGCTCTTCTCACAGATGGTGTCTGCTCCAGGCGGGGTGTCAGATGTCAGGGTATGATTCACTGACCATGGCTGTGGCAGTCAAGACGACTGCATGTGAGTGGGCACACGGACCATATTCATTGACAGTAGTCTAAGGTTTCCTTGAAATAGGCCGCAGTGCACGCTGTTCGGTTGTTCTGACAGAAATTCTCTTTGGCGAAGGAGGGCAAGAGTAACTCCATACACCATTTGCTGTAGGTGAGGGGATCGAACCCTCCGGAACACCTCCCAAACCACAATCAATTTCCAGCGATGAAGCCATTCGCCTTTGCTTTCGCCGTGAGTGAAACGTGTGTGATTTCACGAACCACAAATAATGGCCGTGATTTCACGCACGTTTGGGACAGCCACAGGACCCCAACAACAAAAACCAAAGGAAAACCTACCAATGGGAGAGCAAAAGAAAACATCCTTTTGTCAGGCTTATTTCGCAAAAACAGGCTACCGCTGATTTCCTGCCACATCCACGATGCCTGACAGTCACACACCTTAAACACTAATCCACATACATCGGTAGTGAGATCTCCCTCCAGGATTCAAACTCTTTCACAGTTTTACTTTTTTTTTTTTTTTTTTTTTTTTTTTTTGGAGAGTGGGTAGCCCCTGACTTCATTCAAGTTCATTGTATTCAACAGGATTCGAACTCTTTTACTTTAATTTTTTGGTGCAGAACGTCGACGTGACCCTGCGGCAAAAGTTGTTCAGTTTATTGTTTGTGCACAACATAGTTTTTCTTCCGGATTCTTTTGATTTTATTTTTATTTATTCATTTTGCTGGGACTTTCCCCAGCCCTTTTTCCTTCTGGGCTGCCCGGGGGACCAAGGTGACACAGGCGGGCCCCGTTGGTACCCCAGTCAAAAACTAAATTGACATCGATATTGGAGTTTATCGGCCATACATTTTTTCCCGTATTGCACCTTGTCCTTCGGGACATCCGTTAAAATTGGAACGATACAGAGAAGGGTAAATTAGCAAATGTCCCCTTCGCAAGGATGACAAGCATAAATTGGAGGGGGAAAAAAAAAAAAAAAAAAAAGATACTGACGAGAGTGCATCTGGCCGCAATCGGAGGGAGTGTAGGTGCTTGAGTTGGGTAAAAAGGTTTGAAAAACTCAATTGCCATGCGACATCAGAGTTCATTGCCCGTACACTGCGCACAGTGGGTCACCCTGATACCGAAGAGAGCGCATCTGACCGCGATCGGAGGGAGTGTACATGCTTGAGCCGGGAAACTCTCTAGCTGGTTTTGCAGTGTCCCTTAGACACTCAATTTAATTGAATTTATCAGTTTATCATTTTGTGTCTTTTTTTTTTTCGATCATTTTGTGCCTTCGTCCATAATGGAAGGGAAGCATAGAGTCGGTTTTGATTTGTTGTACAAGGGACACGGACCTGGTTCCCAGATTTTAATTTTTATTTTTAATTGATGTTCGCAGGGGGTGGGTTGGGGGGGGACCAAAAAAAAAAAGGAAAAACGGTTATCATTTTCTTATAAATTTCTACATTAGAGTTGACCAGGGCCGAGGTCCCACTAGCAAAAAAGATAGGATCGAGCTCCTGAATCTGGATGTGTTTTAAGCAGAGATGCAGAAAAGCAGTTCAATCTCGATTTCCTGCACATCTCCATAAACTCGTCCAGATTCAGGCATTATATCCGATCCTCTTTGCTAGTGGGACCACGCCCCAGGGGAGATCCCTGCAAAAAAACAAAAAAAAAAGTAAAAAAAAGTTGTCTTTCTGTACATCGGAGTTGCTGTTTTGTACATCAGAAAGCAAAAGAGGAAATGATAAAATATTGAAAAATAATAAAATATGCATCAGAGGTGACCGACATGATTAGAACGGATTCTACGGAATGTGAATTTCAATGAGAATTTAGTTCTAATTTCGAAGTATCAAAAACTGAATTTTTTTTTTTCTTCCTGTTTTTCTTTTTTAAATTGGAATTATTTTGTGGACAGGTTGAATGGGATAAGAATGCAATTGCCAGCGACATCGGAATCTATCGGCCGCGGTTTGAGCTTAATCCAAATGTCATTAGGGTTCCCATTGTACCTGGTACAGATCCTAGACAGGTGAGTAGGGTTTGTTAAGCCTTGTTTGTTTGCTGCAAGAACTAAAGTTTGTTCTCATCACCAAATGTACCTTGAGAAAGGTGGAAAAAAAAAAAAAAAAAAAGGCTAGGGCCGCTAGGCTACCTAAAGGCCCAGGACCACTTGCCCGGCCGGGCTAACAACAAATTGGAAAAATAAGAAATATATATATATATATATTTGACGATATATATGTGACGATATATATATGTACAGGGTTACCTGACCGAACGTTCGGGGGCCCCCGGGCTGGCCCCCGAACGTTCCGGCGTTCGGGGTCCCGTTCGGGGGCCGAACACCTCCAGGTTCGGCCCCCGCCAAAAAACAATTCGGGGCCTAAAAATAAGTTTTTTTTTATGAATTGTTTTTTTGAGTTCTCTATGATGTAACCTACATGCCTATACATTTTGAAGCCATTCTGCTAAGCCAAAAAAACATTAAAAATCGTCAAAGATGGGGGTGTCAAAACGTGCTCGCCCACTCACTATTTTGTTTTTTTTCACTTCTAACTTTGGCTGGGGTGGCTGATTCCTCTCCTGTCTGACCGACGCACAATGGCTTGCAGAATTTCAACTTGCTACTGGGCACACCACAACCTCGCAGACGTTTGGATCACACCGCCAGCCCAAGCACATTGCACTTGAGATTGGGCACCCTACCTACTCCCGGAACTTTATTTCGGGGCCTAAAAAAAAATATTATTTTTTGAAATATTTTTAATGAGTTATTGATGATGTAAGCTACATATCTGTAAATTTTCAGGGCATTTGTCAATGCCAAAAAATAATAAAAAATCGGCAAAGATGGCGGTGTCGAAAAGGTGCTGGCACACTGACTCATTTAATTCTCTTTTTACTTTTTCTTATTTTTATCATAGTGTTTATTTTCTGTATTTTATTTTTAATTCAAATTCGGTAAACAATTTGGATGTAGTGCCCAGGCAAATGTTGTGTAGTTTATTTTTCTCCATAACCTTTTTTTTCGGAATTTTTTGAAAAACTTTTCTTTTTTTTTTGGTCCAAGTTCGGCCCGAATGGCCGAACGCCTTCGGAAGGGATCCCGTACGTTCGGGCGTTCGGGTTCGGGCGTTCAGCCCGTCTCGAACGTCGGAAACCCTGTATATACTACGGTTTACCGGGCAGTTCTATTTGACGATATATATATATATATATATACTTTTTTTTTTTTTTTTTTTTTTTTGACAAATAATTTCGACGTGACCCTGAGGCAAAAGTTGTTCCGTTTATTTTTTTGCATAACGGATTTTTCGGATTTAATTTTTATTTTTTTTTGCTGGGACCTTCCTTGGTCCTTGCACGTCCAGGCCGCTTAGGAAAAAGGGTGCCCCGGGCAGCCCGGCTGGTAGCCTACAGAAAAAAGGGGGAAAAAATAAAAAAAACGGATTTATTGTCCCCTCAATGTTCTTTAATAATTTCTAATTTTATTATATAGTAACTATATTTTCAACTTTTCAATGATATTTTATTCTTAAAACTCAGAAAAGGAGCAGCTCCAAGAAGCATATTTTTTATTTTGCCCAATCGATCATATGCGTGTATTAGCAGACCCAAAAAGATGTTTTGTGGGTGAGATTCCCACACCCTGTGTTCCTTTTTCCTTTTTCGGTTGGAACCCGTGGAACCCATGGAACCTTAATGGGACACCAGAGGGGTTCCATGCTCTCCATGTTATCTGGGGTGTTGTAGCCAATAAATAGCCCACGTAGCCTAGGCAGGTGGTAAAGCTTGTCGTGGCTTTGGAACGAGCTTGAGATGCCGTCTTCATCAGACTTGCTTCATTCGGAGTCATGTTCTATGGAGTCGCGCGTGTAATTAACTATTCGATTGATTGATTGTTTGTCGATTTAATTGATTGATTGATTGATATTTATTGATCTGCTAGGATCAATTGGTGATTTCGTAACTTTGTTATGTAAGGGTGGAGAAGAAGATGTTATGCAAGGCATCTTCCTTTACTGTTTGGTTGCATTGTGTGTAATCTTTCTCATGGACTTGAGCCTCAGTGTCGACCTTGCCGTGGCTTGGGAACGAGGTTCGCGCGTGTAATTCGCTTATTGATTGATTGATTGTTTGTCGATTGATTGATTGATTGATTGATTGATTGATTGATTAATTGATATTTATTGATCTGCTAGGATCAATTGGTGGTTCCCTAACTTTGATATGGAAGGGTGGAGTAGAAGATCTTGTGCAAGGCATCTTCTTCTACTGTTTGGTTCCATTGTGTGTAATCTTTTTCATGGACTTGATCCTCAACATCCACCTTGTCGTAGCCTGGGAACGAGGTTGAGGTGGCGTCTTCATCAGACTTGCTTTATTCAGAGACATGTTGTATGGAGTCGCGCGTGTAATTCGCTTATCGATTGATTGATTGTTTGTCGTCTGATTTATTGATTGATATTTATTTACAGATCTGCTAGGATCAATTGGTAGTTCCGTAACTTTGTTATGGAAGGGTGGAGGAGAAGATGTTGTGCAAGGCATCTTCTTCTACTGTGTGGTTCCATTGTTTGTAATCTTTCTCATGGACTTGAGCCTCAGCGTCGACCTTGCCGTGGCTTTGGAACATGGTTGAGGTGCCGTCTTCATCAGACTTGCTTCATTCGAAGTCATGTTCTATGGAGTCGCGCGTGTAATTCGCTTATCGATTGATTGATAGATTGATTGATATTTATTGATCTGCTAGGATCAATAGGTGGTTCCGTAACTTTGTTATGGAAGGATGGAGGAGAAGATGTTGTGCAAGGCATCTTCTTGTATTATTCGGTTCCATTGTGTGTAATCTTTCTAATGGACTTGAGCCTCAGCGTCGACCTTGCCGTGGCTTGGGAACGAAGTTGAGGTGTCGTCTTCATCAGACTTGCTTCATTCGGAGTCGTGTTCTATGGAGTCGCGCATGTAATTCGCTTTTCGATTGATTGATTGTTTGTCGATTGATTGATTGATTGATTGATTGATATTGATTGATCTGTTTGGATCAACTGGTGGTTTCGTAACTTTGTTATGGAAGGGTGGAGGAGAAGATGTTGTGCAAGGCATCTTCTTGTACTGTTTAGTTCCATTGTGTGTAATCTTTCTCATGGACTTGAGCCTCAGCGTCGACCTTGTCGTGGCTTGGGAACAAGGTTGAGGTGTCGTCTTCATTAAACTTGCTTCATTGCGAGTCATGTTCTATGGAGTCGCGTGTGTCATTCGCTTATCGATTGATTGATTGTTTGTCGATTGATTGATTGATTGATTGATTGATTGATATTTATTGATCCGCTGTGATCAATTGGTGGTTCGCTAACTTTGTTATGGAAGGGTGGAGATGAATGTGTTGTGCAAGGCATCTTCTTCTACTGTTTGGTTCAATTGTGTGTAATCTTTTCTCATGGACTTGAGCCTCAGTGTCGAGCTTGCCGTGGGTTGGGAACGAGGTTGAGGTGTCGTCTTCATCAGACTTGCTTCATTCGGAGTCATGTTTTATGGAGTCGCGCGTGTAATTCATTATCGATTGATTGATTGTTTGTCGATTGATTGATTGATTGATGGATTGATATTTATTGATCTGCTAGGGTCAATTGGTCCCCTAACTTTGATATGGAAGGGTGGAGGAGAAGATGTTGTGCAAGGCATCTTCTTCTACTGTTTGGTTCCATTGTGTGTAATCTTTTGTCATGGACTTGAGCCTCAGAGTCGACAATACCGTGGCTTGGGAACGAGGTTGAGGTGTCGTCTTCATCAGACTTGCTTCATTCGGAGTCATGTTCTATGGAGTCGCGCGTGTAATTCGCTTTTCGATTGATTGATTGTTTGTCGATTGATTGATTGATTGATTGATTGATTGATATTGATTGATCTGTTTGGATCAACTAGTGGTTCCGTAACTTTGTTATGGAAGGGTGGAGGAGAAGATGTTGTGCAAGGCATCTTCATTTACTGTTTGGTTCCATTGTGTGTAATCTTTCTCACGAACTTGAGCCTCAGCGTCGACCTTGCCCTGGCTTTGGAGCAAGGTTGAGGTGTCGTCTTCATCAGACTTGCTTCATTCGAAGTCATGTTCTATGGAGTCGCGCGTGTAATTCGCTTATCGATTGATTGATTGTTTGTCAATTGATTGATTGATTGATTGATTGATTGATTGATTGATATTGATTGATCTCCTAGGATCAACTGGTGGTTCCGTAACTTTGTTATGGAACGGTGGAGGAGAAGATGTTGTGCAAGGCATCTTCTTCTACTGTTTGGTTCCATTGTGTGTAATCTTTCTCATGGACTTGAGCCTCAGCGTCGACCTTGCCGTGGCTTGGGAACGAGGTTGAGGTGCCGTCTTCATCGGACTTGCTTCATTCGAAGTCATGTTCTATGGAGTCGCGCGTGTCATTCGCTTATGTATTGATTGATTGTTTGTCGATTGATTGATTGATTGATTGATTGATTGATATTTATTGATCTGCTGGGATCAATTGGTGGTTCCGTAACTTTGTTATGGAAGGGTGGAGGAGAAGATGTTGTGCAAGGCATCTTCTTCTACTGCTTGGTTCCATTGTGTGTAATCTTTTCTCATGGACTTCAGCCTCAGCGTCGATCTTGTCGTGGCTTGGGAACGAGGTTAAGGTGTCGTCTTCACCAGACTTGATTCATTCATAGTCATGTTCTATGGAGTCGCGCGTGTAATTCGCTTATCGATTGATAAATTGTTTGTCAATTGGTTGATTGATTGATTGATTGAAATTGATTGATCTCTTAGGATCAACTGGTGGTTCCGTAACTTTGTTATGGAAGGGTAGAGGAGAGCATGTTGTGCAAGGCATTTTCTTCTACTGTTTGGTTCCATTGTGTGTAATCTTTCTCATGGACTTGAGCCTTAGCGTCGACCTTGTTGTGGCTTGGGAACGAGGTTGAGGTGTCGTCTTCATCAGACTTGCTTCATTCGAAGTCATGTTCTATGGAGTCGCGCGTGTCATTCGCTTATCGATT